GTGTGCCACGTGAGCACAGTGCTGCGCAGCGTGGCTGCTACTGGCCTGGGGGCGGCGCCGACTCAGAGTGGCCTCCGGCACCACGACGCTCGGCCCGGTGAAGCCCCCTCTGCGTGGCGGCTCCGGCCCTCCATGCTGCCAGCGTGCGCCAGCGGCAGCAGAGTGCAGCACTGCCCACGGCCGCAGCTCCTGTCTGTGCCATTCCAGGGTCTGGCTCGCGCCAGCCACCGGCTACCCGGGCACCCCGCTCGCTCGCCGCCGGACTCTGCCTCTCCCCAAGCGCAAACCTGCCTCCTGGGGGCACCAGTGCTTTGTCGGAAGAGGGGCGTCTCCGAAGGGGGAGCTGAGTGAGCGAAGAGGGGCCCACCGCCGCCGGCCCCCCTCGCCTTTCCAGAACAGCGTCAGGACGCCCTGCGAGCCGCTGCCGTGGGCCTCCCGCGGCCCTGAGCCGACCCCGTCTGCAGCAGTGGGCTTTCTCTCCCGAGACGTCTCCTCCTTGCTTTTGGTTTCTAAGCAGCGGCCAGGGTCTCCCGCACCATCGTTCTTCCCTCCGCTGCGGGAAGGCTGCTGGCTCCCGGGCCGCACAGGGGAGGTGCCAGCGTTGTTCATTGTGTTCCCTCGGCAGCCCCTGCAGGGAGGGCAGCTGGTGCAGGCCCGGGCAGGTAGGGCCTGGCTCAGGGCCCCCCCAAGCCGGCCTAGAAACCTGGCTGCCGCCAAAGCGAAACCCGCCCCTGCCAGAAGCGGGGTGTCAGCTTGGCGGGAGGAGGGGAGGCCTGGCAAGCCCAGACCCCGGATCTGGAAAGCAAAGCGGGTCTGTCCAGCTGCAAATGAGTCTGGATTTTAAGATTAAGCGTCTTCCCCCTTTCTCCAACCAGAAAGTCCCCTAAAAACAAATGCAAAACCGCTTTCTGGCCGCAGACCGCCTCATGTTTGACCGGATTCCCAGCCGGCTCTGCCAGTCACATGACGTCTGGCACAGCTCGTCCTCAACTGTCCTTCGGAGAACCCCGAGCAGTTCCCCTGGGAACCGTGCCAAGGCTGGGGGCTGTGCAGAGGGCGAGCCGCGCCCAGCGGGGGCTGGCCAGGCCCACGTCCCCGCCGGCCCGAGACCGCTCGGCCCTGGCCACCCGCCGGCGCCAGGCGCCGGGGTCTGCTCTGCCCGGGGCCTGGGGTACGGGGCCCGGCCCGGAGCAGCTGTTTCCACATGGGCGCTCCGAGACAGGGTGCGGCCTGGGCTGGCCCCCGTCAGCGACTCCCAGCGGCACGTCAGCAAGCCGCGCAGTCCCCTGGCTGCCCGCTGTCCTTCCGCTTAGCTTAGCTGCCGTCTTCCTGGTGCCGTGTCAGAGCAGACGCCAGACCCGGGCGCGCCCAGGCTGGCACCGCGGGTCTTCTGCACTGCCACTCACCTCCCGCCCCCCAGCATCCAGAACCCTGCCAGGGAGCCTGGTGAGGCCTGGCCCGCCAGGGCAGGGCCTCTGTCAGCGCGCCTGACCGCCCAAGAAGCAAGCAGGCCCCGGGGGGACGCAGGCGGACATCGCCCTCGCCACCCCCCAGATGCCCCCAGGACCTCTCTCATCCAGCAAGGCTGCCTCGTCCTGCCCCACACCTGCCCCCCCACACCTGCCCACCGCCGGCTTCTGCTCCCGCAGGCGCCCAGCTTGCAGCGTCCCCGTCCCTTCCCTGGCCCACACCCTGTCCGGCCTGCAGCTGACCCTGCTGGGACTCCTGTGCCGGCCTCCAGCCTGCCGCTGAAGGCTTCGGCCTCACACCGTCCGCGGCGGGCAGGGGCTGGGGCGGCTACGGTGCACGGCTGTCCCCAGCGCAGGCGAGCTCCCTGAGCAGCAGGAGTGTGTCCTAACCTCGCCCAGGCACGCGCAGCCTGGACACGCTATGGTGTCCAGGTGGTGGCCAAGGAGGCCCTCGGGTCACCCCGCAGCAGGGCGTCAGGTCCTGCCCACCCCCCGCAACACAGCAGGCCGACGCCACGCACCCTGCTTCAGGCTCCCCTGCTCCAGCCTGGGCTTCCCCAGACACTGTCCAGGGGTCTGCAAGTGCCACAGGCCGGTTCTCTCACACCCACCGGCCCAGCCCAGGTGGGGATGGAGAGGGGGTCTCACACAAAGGGGCTGGAGCGCCCCCTCCCTCTGGGGGACCCAGCACTGCCACTGGACCCCCTTCCTCCTCCTATTTTACTGAGGTTGGGGGGGCCCAATCTTGCCCATTCAGGCTTTTTTCTGGATACCCAAGAACGGAGGCATCCTCCACCCTTCCAGCCCCCAAGCAGGCAGGGCCCCCCTCTGGCCTCTAAGGCACAGCATGGCCCCCCGGATTCCAGCCCCTGAAGAACTAAAACTAATGGGGGCCGGGGCAGAGGCAAGGGGAGGAAGCGGTGGAAAGCAGGGAGCTCTGGTGCTACTCCAGGAGAGGCGCGCTGGGCCCACAATGGGAGGAAACGGGGAGTGGCCGTGCGGGGCTGGGGTGCAGCCCGAGCAGCGGCTTCCTCGCAGACAAAGCTCACAGGACAGAAAGGCTTGGCCTTTCCTCTGGGAAAGGGCCCGGCCGGGCCACCCCTCAGCGCCACCGGCCCTCCCTCCCTGGGCCGCCTCCCTCCTCCTCAGAGGTTTTATTTTTGCTTTGGTAAATGCGAAAGCACGAGGCCGGGGTACAGAGGCTGGAACTTTACCGAAGGGCCTCGCCGGTGCGCGGGCGGCTGACCCTGCCGCTCGGGACCCCTGGACACCCCAGCTGCCGTGGCCTGGGGACAGGGGAACTTAGTTCCTCCTTCCCAGCAACCAACTTATGCGACCCTGAGATGGGCCAAGCGGCAAGAGCTGTTCTATCCAGGAACGAAACAGCCGGATGTGCCGAGCGCCGACTGGGGCTCAGGACGCCGTAACCGTGCTGCAGGCCACAGGCGAGTCCTCTGTCACCTGAGTCCCCTCGTGGGGACACGGAGGCACAGACAGACCCGAGACAGGACACGCCTGGCTGGGGTGTCTCGCACCCTACTGAGGGCCTGGGCTCAGTTCCCTCCTCACCTATCGAGGGGTCCCTGCCGGCCTGCGGGGCGGCTTCAGGCCTCAATGCTGTGCCAGCTCCTGCTGCTGGACAGACGCGCTCGTGGGTGTCTGCTGGGCCGGGCGGGCCCCGGCGCGTGTGGGGTGAAACCATGGGGGGCCCGTGGGCCCCGCGGGCTCTGCTCACCCCTCTAGTATCCCCAGCCCTGGCCTTCAGATCCCCTATCTCTTCCCACGAGGACACGGCGAAGGCCAAAGGCCACGACCGGCAGCCAGCGGGTCCCAGCGGACAGTCCGCTCCCTGCCGCGACATGAGTCCGAGGCGCTGGCGCCCCTCTGAGGCTTCCCCAGAGACCCCCCTGCTCCTGCAGCCCTGCCCCCCACGGGCCGGTGCGTGCTCGGGGAGGCTGCCCGCTGGCCGTGAGGAAACGGGGCTTTATCCGATGCTGGAAGACGACACCGGGAAGCTTTCTGCAAAATGTGTCGGAATCTAGGGAGGCGGCTGCCCGCCCCCAGCCCTGGCAGCTCTGGCATCCTCCACAATGCCCGCCTTGGGCTTCCTGCGATTCCCAGAGACGCAAGATCTTAGGGCTGTCACTGGACGTGGCGTAGGAGACAAGATATCCTCAGGCGTGCCACAAGTTTACTCCTGCGGGTCAAGAACGCTCGGACAAACGCTGCGTCCGCGGGGTCTCTGAGCGCCCCGAGAGGGCTCCGGGAGGCTGAGGGGTTAGTCTGGACCAGCGCCAAAGCCAGCTTGTTGGGACCTCCCGCTGCAGGAATTTCTAACAAGGAAACTTTTCAGGAAGCGCTTGAATACCACACACGCACTGGCAAGCAGGATCGCATATGTAGCTATATTTAGAGAATAATTTCCAAGCGAGATATGTGGGCGCGACGATAGTTCTGCTAGATCACACTGATTTTTCTGTGGCCTCACGGCGCTGGCAAATGGCGGCAGCTTGCAGAGAGAGCCAGAAGCGGGGAGCAGCTCTCTGCAGCCCCGCGCCCGGGAGGCTGTGAGTCACCGGCCTTCCTGCGCCCCAGCAGGGCGGTTGCAACGGTCTCAGGCAGGCAGTCAAGCACCTGCTCACCTGCGCTAGAGGGCAGGAAACGGGCTGCCAAGAAGACCCGGCGGTGAACCCCCAGTATGAGCGAGACTCGTCAGCTCCAGAAGGCAGCGGTCCCCCGGGTCCCCCGGACGTGCTACGGGTATGGTGATTTTCATAAACACACTGACTCATCACCTTCCCTGCAGCTCGCGGCGGCTGTGGCAGTGGGGTGTGGTGGTGGCGGGGTGCGTACGGGGGAGGGGTGCGAGTGCTGACTTAGCACTTTCCTCGCGGGGCTGGGACGGCCTGCGCCCCAGAGCCGGCGGCAGGCTGGTCTCCCAGCCCCAGGACCCAAACGGGCAGAGGGTGGGCAGGGCTCACCCAGGGGCGTGTCCCCGCCAGGGGGCAGATGTGGGGTCCTGCCCCAGTTCTTACCCTCCCGCCGGGCAGAGGCGCCCTCTCTGAAGATGGATTCTGGAAAGGTGCAGGGTGAGGAGAGGGTTTCCTGGGCCAGGGGGCCTGCACCAGAGGAGCAACAGGGCTGCCGGAAGGCTGGACGGCTCCAGGGAGGCCGGCGCCGGTCTCGCCACGCTCTGGGCCTCCGGGCACAGAGGACCCAGAGCGGAGCGCCTGGCCCACCTGCCGGTGTGGGGGAGCAGAGCGTCAAGACGCCCGCCCGCGTCCAGGGAGGTCCGAGGGCGGCTGCCAAGCGGCGAGTCTGGACCGCACGAGCGTCGCCCTCCCGGTGAAGGGAATGCCCAGGGGCGCGGTCCCCGACACAGAGCCCGGCTCCGGGTGACCGCAGCTCCCTCGCGGGCCGGGCCTCTCAAGGTCCCCGGGGGCCGGCCGCATTCAGGAACCGTAACATCACTTCCAGGGAACGGAACCAGCTGCTTGATCTATTCCCCTGAACTCTCAGCGCTATTATTAGGGCACATCTGTCTGAGGGAAGTCACCCAGGAAAAACCCAGCCGAAGAAAATATTTTTAAGCGGTCGTCACTTCAGTCTTTGGAGAAGGAAGCAAGGAGAGAATCCACCAAAGGACCCCAGAATTCGGGAGACCCGGGAGGCAAATGGAAAGCATTCGCCCTGGGAATGCAGGCCGCCGAGCAAGCCACATGGCGCAAGCCACATGGCGCATGGCCGCACCGACAGCCCCCCAGCGGCCCCTCCTCTCTCCCCGCCTCGTTCCGTCTCCCCTCCCCGTGCGGCAAAGCCAGCGGGTGAAGCCCCCTCAAGCTCGGGTCAGACCCAGGCTGACGCCGGTTAGTGACACGACCGGGTGACAGGACACGGACCCAGGGCCCACAGACTTGTCCTCATGCGACAATTCCTTTCTTTCTTACCCAGTTCCCGACACTTAGAAACTTCACCACAGAACGGGGGTTTTCCAACCTTCTTGGAAGCCCCAGGCCTGCCCTCCTGCTGGGGTCCACCAGCAGGACCCCCGGTGGCTGGAGATGGGGCTCCCTTCCCTGGCCCCTGCTCGGAGGAGCATACCCGCCAGGCGAGGGCCTCTGCGCGTCCAGGAGTCGGCTC